TATATATATATATATATATATATATATATAATCTCAGTCAGGGGTCTGCATAACGGATAGTCTACTGTCATGATGGCTACTGTTTTATTCCTGGCAAAGAGTTATTGTTTCTAAAATAGATCTTTATTTTAAACTGAACATTTTAATAGTAGCCAAAGCATATTATTTTATCCATGTTTACCTATAACTACTAATATTACAGCCATTGCAGTCTCGATATTTATCATTTAGATCAGTAATGAGTTGTAACATCCTGTGCAGCCTGGCAATAATGTGAGGAAACAGTGCATTAGGAAGATGTTAAATACAACCTGTAAGGAACACACGATTGTTTTCTCTTTCCTTTTTTCGCAGTTTAATGTGAAACAACACATTCATGCGTAAAGCTTAGAAGAAACAATGAACTGAATAGTTAGTGCATTACTTTTTTCAAATCTATTTTTGTACAACAAACATGTCTTTGTTATGACACTAAAAATCATTACGTTACATGCCACAACAGTTAATATATTATTTCCTAACAGCAACCTGGTTTGATACATGTTTTGTCACATACCTGGGGAATTAAGCACTTTGGCCTGTTTACAGGTATGAGCTGGTGGTTCATCTCCAAGAGGCACATTCCTTGCTCGGTTTTGTCCATTTTTGTCAGCGCTCTTGCCGCTAACGTCCTCGACCAAGTCCTCTCCACAGTCTTTGGCCCAGTCCTCAATGCTGGCCTTGACCCAGTTCTCACTGCAGTCCACTGCCCAGTCCTCACTGCATTTCTCAGAACAGTTCTCACTGCACCTCTCAGCATAGTCCTCACTGCAGTCCGCTGCACAGTCCTCACTGCAGTTTTCATCCCAGTCCTCACAGGTGCTCTCAGCACAGTCCTCACAGCAGTCCTTAGCCCAGTCCTCTCTACATTTCTCAGCACAGTCGTCACAACAGTTCTCGGCCCAGTCCTCACTGCTGTTTACAGCACAGTCCTCACTGCAGTTTTCAGCACAGTTCTCACAGCAGTTCTCAGCACAGTCCTCACAGCAGTTCTCATCACAGTCCTCACAACAGTTCTCAGACCAGTCCTCACTGCAGTTTTCAACACAGTTCTCACAGTAGTTCTCAGTACAGTCCTCACTGCAGTTTTCAGCACAATCCTCACTGCAGTCCTTGGCACAGTCCTCATTATGATACGTTTCACTGTCCACACTGCGATCTTTGGCCCAGTCCTCACTGAAGATCATAGCCCAGTCCTCATTGAAGATCCTGGCCCAGTCCTCACTGAAGACCCTGGTCCACTCCTCACTGCAGTTCTCAGCCGACTCCTCACTGTAGCTCTCAGCACAGTCCTCACTGAAGACCCTGGTCCAGTCCTCACTGCAGCTGTCAGTATGGTCCTCACTGCAGCTCTCAGCCCGGTCCTCACTGTAGCCCTCGGCACAGTCCTCACTGTAGCACTCAGCATGGTCCTGACTGTAGCCCTCAGCATGGTCCTCACTGTAGCCCTCAGTACAGTCTTCACTGTAGCACTCAGCACTGTCCTCACTGTAGAACTCAGCACAGTCCTCACTGTGACCCTCAGCACTGTCCTCACTGTAGCCCTCAGCATGGTCCTCACTGTAAGCCTCAGCCCGGTCCTCACTGTAGCCCTCAGTACAGTCTTCACTGTGACCCTCAGCACAGTCCTCACTGTAGGCCTCAGCACAGTCCTCACTGTGGCCCTCAGCACAGTCCTCACTGTGACCCTCAGCACAGTCCTCACTGTAGCCCTCAGCATGGTCCTCACTGTAAGCCTCAGCCCGGTCCTCACTGTAGCCCTCAGCACAGTCCTCACTGTGACCCTCAGCACAGTCCTCACTGTAGGCCTCAGCACGGTCCTCACTGTAGCCCTCAGCACAGTCCTCACTGTGACCCTCAGCACAGTCCTCACTGTAGGCCTCAGCACAGTCCTCACTGTGACCCTCAGCACAGTCCTCACTGTAGGCCTCAGCACAGTCCTCACTGTGACCCTCAGCACAGTCCTCACTGTAGGCCTCAGCACAGTCCTCACTGTGACCCTCAGCACAGTCCTCACTGTAGGCCTCAGCACAGTCCTCACTGTGACCCTCAGCACAGTCCTCACTGTGACCCTCAGCACAGTCCTCACTGTGACCCTCAGCACAGTCCTCACTGTGACCCTCAGCACAGTCCTCACTGTGACCCTCAGCACAGTCCTCACTGTGACCCTCAGCACAGTCCTCACTGTGACCCTCAGCACAGTCCTCACTGTGACCCTCAGCACAGTCCTCACTGTGACCCTCAGCACAGTCCTCACTGTAGGCCTCAGCACAGTCCTCACTGTGACCCTCAGCACAGTCCTCACTGTAGGCCTCAGCACAGTCCTCACTGTGACCCTCAGCACAGTCCTCACTGTGACCCTCAGACCGATCCTCACTGTAGCCCTCAGCACGGTCATCAGTGCAGTCCTCCCGAATGTCCTGTCCACCTTCGGCTTTCTGAGGTTTCAGGCTATCAGTCTTACCACGTTTCTGAAAAAGAAAAGTTGTGATATGCATTTTAAAGTCTAACAAATCTCAAGTCAGATCATCTCACTGACAAAGTTACAAAAGTCATGATGCATTGCTGAGTCTGTAACTTTAAAAAATTAATAATCGTTCTGAAAATTTTGTTTACACTTGGCTTATTACAGAGTACCAAAAAAAGATAGAAATATTTCACTATTACTTGCCACATTAAGTCCAGTTGTGGCAATGGTTGTGGATAACAAAGAAATAGGACGGCGACCATCCTTTGGTACTTGTATACCCGAGGACCCGCTGAAGATATGAACATGAAATGTCCAATAACAATCTCCATGATACACAGAATTCGTTCTAATTTTCGTCTTGTGGTTCAGAATTATCTGATAGATATTTCAGACTCTTGTTTGACAGGAAACTTAGCCCTCTGGAAGGGACGGGAACAGAGTCTCTTGACCACACATGGCCTACCATTGCACGGGAAGAAGACCACCCCCTTATGCCAGACAATCAACCTTTCCAGACACACGACGCACGATACAGTGGCCCTCAGAGGGAAAGAAAGCAGGACACAATCCTAAATACATTAATCATGTTATTTTGGTGATAATCCTTGAATTGGCACAATAAGGTGACTAACATGATGGTGGATTTATGAAACGGTTGCTGAGAAGATAGCGTTTTCCTGAAGCGTTATTACTCATTTCTGTCTGATTTCAACATGTTGTGGAACAAACAAGGAACGTTCGCTTGGAGAACATTATAGATATTCCTAAATCTGTGCGAAATTCAAGGTGATGTTAGCAAACAAACAGTTATTGAAACACATGATTCTGTTAGAAATGAATATCAGAAAAGTAAAGTTTCTGAAGTGCTTAAAGTTTCATTTAACTGATTTTCATTCTATCATGTTCAATCAGCAACAATTTCGCTTCGTTTCCTGTCTCACAAGCCCTGACGTTCTAGGATTTGAGGTTTTCACAGTGCGACTATGAAGATGGAATCTTCTGGGTTCTTTCGCGATGTAGTCTGGTAGTTATTGAACGATGTATCAGTGGTGACTGCAGCTTCCTTCATTACCTGCTGAGGAACCTGTAAATTCTACCAGACTGAGCTGCACAACAACCCAGAAGACAGCCATCTTCCCTTGAAGTTCTGTTTAAGCTCCACAGACTCTCGACGGAATGGAAAGCAATGTGTTACCTGTTTATTCTTGATGTTGTTGTTGTTTGCAGCACTGAGATGCCCCACTGCTTCTTCATGTGTGTAAACTATGACGTCGTCATTATGGGAGGCAAGAAGGTTGTCGATTTGCTGCTTAAACTTCTCATTTTCAGCCGAGATTCTTGCTACAGCCTCACTCAGTCCGTTTATAGTTTCCTGGGCTCTTCTAATTTCCCTACGGTGTTTTCCTTCCACGTCCATCATTTTATCTTTCATTTTCTGAATGTCGAACTTCGTCGCATTGGCTTCATTTACTCTCTCTCTAAAACTCTCAAGTTCTTTCTCTACGCGAGCAAATTTCTTTAATATCTTTTCCAAAGGTAATTCGTCTCCGTATTTTGGTTTCTGCTGAGCATACGTCAAAGCGTCTCTGAAATTCTTAATTTCTTCTTTCATTATCGTGCATGAAATGAGTTGGTTTCGCTGACTCATTTCCTCCATAACCTTTTTCGTTTTCCCGCTTTGAAGATAATTTCTTGTCACTAATCGGGTTTTTCCTTAGGTACCTGCAGTAAAAAACATGTATCAGATTACCATCCAATATTTTTATAGTATTAGTGCTCTTTAAAATTCAACACGAGATTCAGAATACATTTAATAAAAATTTATATGTATGATTATATTTATATTAATAAACATTTTGCTCTCTGACGGACGCATTACTTCTTTATTACGTTAAACGTTAAGTGTGTGTATTAGTAGGTGTGATGTTGATCAAACATATTTAAGAATTCGGTAGCATATTTAAATACAGATGATGATAAGATCATTTTAATAGCTTTGATTATATGCTAATACAGCATTTGAAAAAATGAAGTACGTATTTTATAGGCAGACATTGTTCGGCCTGCTGATAAAACACTTTTAATGCATCAAGAATATTACGTGTGTACATTGATGAATATAACAGCACTGATTAATCCTTATCATTCGTTATATACACCATTTTCAGCCTGTTTTGTGCACAACCCTGTGCCTCTATTTTGTGACATAAAGCAGTTAAAATTACCCCTGGGTTTTCTCTGAAGCGAGAACGTAGTTTGTATTTATTATTCATCCTTGGACGCACTGGCGTATTATAATTCTAGATACTCCTGTACCCTGTTCAGAAACCAGTGAATTTCCCATGGTTTTCTCTAAAAGAGGAACACTACTGCATTCAGAATTGACAAAGCTCGGTGTCTTGTACATCCCTGTGCCTGATTTTCGAAATGCTCGGACTTATGGGGCCTTAGCTCAGCCTGTGGTTAGTCATTGGAACAGACGCCAGATTTCGCTCTAAGGTCAGTCCATATGGGACTTATGCAAATGTACATTGTTCCCTTGCTCAAACCATATGACTTTTAACAAAACTATGTGACAATTATTTTGGTCTCAATAACTGAAGTTTTATAAAATTATCTATGACTTTAAATATAAATTGTTTCGAAGATAAACTCAGTTGTGTGGAGCGGCAGGGCCATTTTATTATTGTAGTTTAATACCAGCCAAAATCTTTAATACAAAGAAATACAGTTTCTCACATTTTCCACGATACGGTTCACTTTTATCTGCGGCCGTTGGAGAAGAAATGAATAGTCAATGCAGGCGGCGCTAGCAGTAAGTTTGCTTACCCCTGTCTCAGAGTATAGTCGAAATCGGACTAGAATCGAGTGCTCTGGGCTGCAGGGCAACTGTGGTTCAACGATATCAGCCGTTGCAGAAATAATTTCCTCTGGGATTTGCAAAGATTAGCAAGTTTAAGATACGAAAGGATTAATAAAACCTCCAGTTACTTTCGATACATACGCAATTTTTGATCTTGTAGACAAACCGAGTTAACATAAGCAGTTGATGAAACTCATGTATAAAACCTTGAGTCTGCCATTTACCACAGTGCAGTTCACATACCTAATGTCGCCGTCCTGGCAGAAATCTGCTCTCTCTTTATTACTTACACGACTCTTGAAGGCTTGTCCGCTCAAGTTGCGTATTAACTTTGTGGTAGTGGTTGACGGAGAATAAATGTTCAATTTCTCTTTCTGAATACAGTCGCACTACCAACGACTTCAAGCGCCCTTCCTGTTGTGGTCTATGAACATCCACGGAAACGGAAGTTGTTTGTTTACAATTTAAGAGAGCATCAAAGCTGATTATTATTGTTGACACAGCTGCTATTCTTGTTGATTGTTGGCAATTACAATAATAATCAACAAATTGTGTTCCATTTTAGCTTCTTTGACGGAATTGAATGCTACACATTTAAAATCTAACACGTGCATTTCTGTTCACATCTCGACCGTAACTCGATAAATATTTACGAGAGCAAAACATTTCTCTTAACAAAAGTTTGATTTGAAAAAATTGTACCCATGTTTAATTTCCAACTTTATTTTGGTCTAGCGGATAGAACGCTGGCCTTGTAATCCTGCGGTCTCGGGTTCGATTCCCGGCGGTGCCCGAATTTATAACTTGTGTTGGGCAAGGCCGTGGTCTAGGCAACACGGAGTTTTCCTCCGGGGGCTTCCCCGGTTTCTCCGTAGCATCCCAACAATTACACAGAAGAAGGCAATGGCAAACCACTTCTGGATCATCTGCCAAGAACGTATATGAACAGGTCCCAGTCCGAGAAAAGGATGGAAGGATCCTGTTCATATGGACCTGTCCTCAGACAGAACACTAAATAAAAAAAGTCGGCTACTTATCTAAATGCCTGTCTGCCAGAGAGTGTATGATTTCTGTTGCTTTTATGTCTGCGGTGTGTACAAATAACTGACGAATACTTTGCTGGGCTTTTGCCAAAGCTACCATCTTACTGAAACCTGTTTGAAAATGCAGCATAACTTCAGAATTTATTCCCTCTCATATTTCAGGCAATCCTTCAAGAAAACTTTATGAATTATAGATAGAATACTGACAGTCTGATAACAAGATGGAGAAACAGTAAGCCTGCTTTAGGGTACAAGTCCAATATCTGTTTCTCCTCAAACAACAGTTTGAAGTTCATCATTTATGGTATGAAACTTACATTCAGTGTTGTTGATCACATCATCAGTGGTGAGTGCTAAGATGCTGCCTGGGTTCTAGCACCGTGTAGTGTGGCAGAAAGGACCTCTGAAACGGTAGATTTCTAGCACACTACACGGTGCTACAACCCAGAATACAGTCATCATAATGTTGGAAAGAGGCAGCTCAGTTAGAAACAGAATTTATATAGTCAGCGGTATTCACCGCTACGGTGGTCTAGCGGTTAGAACGCTGGCCTTGTAATCCTGGGGTCTCGGGTTCGACATTACATTACATTACACCTGCTCCGAGCTTGGAGCTTTTGTCCACCGTGGATTGTAGTCTTCTGGGTCGTGATGCCGTTCAGAATTGTAGTAGGTGCTAAGAACGTGCTTATAGCAAATGTCCACACGAAGGTAACAAGTACAAAGTGAAAAAGAAATGCCTCACATATGACGATAGACAACATTCCGAGTCGTCTTCAGCTTCCCTAAAACTCGTTCTTGGTTGAGTCTGCAGACAGTTTTTGCTTAATTTTCGGTTTAACAGCACTAACTAATGAACCATTGCAGATAGGAATGAAATGTAATATAACAGATTCTAAATATACCTACAAATTATGCGTTCAAAGTTGTTTACCAGTCAACCATTACAAACATGGCGACGAAGTTGAGTTAACAGATGATATGGTCTGGCTCAACATTTTAACCATATCGTAGTCAGAATTTGGAATTAAGCAACCGATTTTTCTCAAAAACATAATAACACTAATATGCACATACAATTTATTTAACTGCAAGCTGAAGGAAATAACCGCTTCCGGTATTATTGTGGTCCTATCTGGCCAACTGCTTAACGCGTTAATCCATCCATTTCATTCTCGCACTGTAGATTATAATTTAAACTTACATTACCTGAATGCACTAACATTAGCTATATAAGACTTGTAAGGATGGAACATAAACTAACAAAATGATAATACACAAAGTCTGACAAAATGAGTTTGGCCCGGAACTTGAAATGCAGAATGGTTACTACTCAAGGATTAAAATCCTTTCTTTCCATCGGCTCCAGTAAAAGCAAGCGAAACTTTGACGTGTTAGAGGCACTCAGCGGAAATTTTATCGGGTGATTAATAACGAAACTGGTGATAATTAATCTAATTTAATGAACTTGAATTTATAGATTATTAGACACCAACTGCTCACAACGTATTTGCTAACAGTTTTGTAAATTAAAAAGAAGGAATAGGGAAACTTGATAATACGAGAAATTGAAATGACACCTAGGTTTCTGATTTAATTTGATTTCCGAATCGACGTCATCGTAATTACTAGTTCATCTACCACACATACCATTTCTGGATCATCTGCCAAGAACGTATATGAACAGGTCCCAGTCCGAGAAAAGGATGGAAGGATCCTGTTCATATGGACCTGTCGTCAGACAGAACACTAAATAAAAAAATCATGAAATTTGCCTCATAAAGGCCCACTGGATTGTTCGTCATTCAGGGATGTGTTATAAACTGTGCCAATTATTTTAGAAAAAATAAAAAGTTGTGATGGTAATATGGGATCTAACCCATAAACAAGATTTATATTTTAACTTGTATATTTTAATTATATCATGTTGTGCCTTTATTATTGCAACCTTGTGGGGGCGGGAGACTGTGGAACCGTAGTAGCTAATAGGCTCACTGTTAAGCACCCAGATGTCTCGTGAATGCATATGGAACAGCAGTGCAGTGATATTTATAGGCAAAACACAAAAATCTCTGTAGAGAGCCCATCCCTGTGCCACTTTTCTGCTACAAATCACATGTTGGATGTCCTGGGAATAAACTGGGTCCTGAGGGTGAGAAGCATCTTGCTAACTGCCAGAACTAGAAACTGGCCAAATTTCCTGTGGCATTTTCTTTTGAAAAGAAGTTTCAGATGAACAAATATATCTGAGATGTGTTAGTAGACTTTAATGTGTTAATCTAGCATCTATAACATTACATAATTATCTTTATTTCTGTGTGTTATTCTAACAGTGAAGTGATGACACCTGTATAATATTAATACTTTTATTTTGTAGAACCTGCAAATGGTGGATATATCCGAAGTCTATTAAAAAAAATTTATCTTCTCCTGTAAGTTTCAAGGCTCAATAATGAAACATAATTTATTGTGTGATATGAAAATAATTTTTTTTTTAAATTGCAGAACGTATATTCAAAAGACACAAACAACTTCTGAAATAAAGTGAAGCTTTTGCGGCGACCGAAGTTAATGAAACACTCTCAGGCAACAAGCCGCGTCAGGTGGCTGATTGTGAATGAACCATACAACCACCTGACACGACTTGCAGCCCGAGAGCCTTTCATTAACTTCTGATAAATTAAAACAGCCAAAATATTATCTATGCTGAACTTCAGCACTGCTGACAGGTTTCTCTTCAATTTGACCCATTAGGCATCAGGACTGGGGCTATGTATGAGCATGCCTGCAATACCAATTACAAAAGACACAAATTAGTAAGTAAATTCAGATGTACTGGAACTTAAGTAATGCGGTGTTTATATGATAAAAAATCATGTATTATTAAGACATGGTGATATAAATATGTATCTTTGTTTTAAATCTTTGACTAGACCCATAAAAATTAAATATCTGTCTTCATTGCATGTAAAGTCCATCAGTGAACCTGACGCTGAGTTAGCTGAATGTAATCTGCATTACCAACACTAATCCAGATATACAGAGTAGCTGGAAATTGGGTGGGATTCTAGAGCTAACATTAAGAAAACTTGCATGGGCTAATTTTTTAACCAGCTGAACATACTGTCAGCTTCTCAAAGAGACTGCTCCATGGAGTACAATATTTTCTGCATTATCTTCAACTCTATTTTCCAGTAGGTTTCCTTCACAAAACTCTCGCTGTACTCAGAATGTGGCAAAAGGAATCCGTCATGTTAAATGCGAGTACCCCAAGGGGAAACTGTCCATTAATTCCCTTTACATATTCATGCTGCCCCTTGTCCGCAGTTCATGTCTAAGTGATATCTCTTCTCCCTGTCTAACCCAATCCAAAATTTGTCATTCATGATTTGCAGCATAATTAAATGTAAAGTCATGGGATCTGGCAAAATAAAGCACTTTGCTGAGTGAGTCTTTCTTTCATCTGTTGCTTGCACAGGGCAAATGTTCATTGCCTTCAAATTTTATGGTGTGCAGTCCTGCATGACCTGTTATATATAGTCTCTTGTGCCTTCAAACACTTGGTATGGAAATACGTACAGGGCTGCTGTGTATGTTGTGCATTAACAGACTAAGAGCCGGTTGATAAAGGACTGGGCTACAAGCTGCATCTGATGGCTGAATGGTGAATGAACCATTTCTTCCGCCAATGTTTAGAGAGCCATCTCTGCTCTCATCGTCAGGGTAGCTGCATAACAAATCTGGTCCTCTGTAGCGCGTTTATTCACCATTCAGCCACCTGACACGGCTTGCAGCCCAAGAGTCTTTCATCAACTGGCACAGTTGAGAGTTGGATTGTATACAGCCTTTGTAATAACATTGAGACAGTGCTGTCTTGTTCAAAAATCAGGGTCGTATGAAGGAAACGAGAAAGAAAAGAAGGAAGGAATAAAGAGAGAAATACCTGCTCTTGTATGAAATAGAAACTGATGTTTCCAATTAACATTCTATAATGGAAATGTGTAGCAAAAATAATTTGAAAACAATGAAGATTTATTTAGTATTCAATGTGTTATCCTTATCTTTTTTTTTCGTCATCATACTCATCAACTAAGTATTAGGTCCCTGGCATTTTGTGATTCATAAACAGCCTTTTGTTCTTATTCTAGGACACCCTTCAACTCTATGACTTTTAGGTGTAATTTGTGGTATCCTACTTCAATTAATTTCACTTGATGTGAGAGTCATTCATCTAAATGTTCTGTTACTCCATGGTTAAATTTTCAGATTAATTGTACAGTGTTAGGTGTTACAGGCTGTGCCCTTAAATAAAGTTTAGAAATTTAATTTCTGCCATTTCTTCAGTCAGCTATATTTAAGGTGACAAAGCACTGAAATATTTTAAAATATTTATTCTTTTGTTTATTTTGTATTAATTATTTTTTGTCATTTGGATGGGTGATAATTTACACACATATTTGTTTCTAAGTTGTCCTATATATAATCAACTCCATAGCTCCAGGAACAGTCTTCTGCCTGAGAAACTGATATTTGCTCAGCTTATCAAAAATGTTTTACCTTTGTAAAAGCTGAAGAATTTCGATTGTGTTCTTAAGTCAGCCACTGGATCCTATCCTGAGCCAGATGAATCTAATCCACATCCCCCCCCCACCCCACACAAACAAAAAGGCAAGGGATATTAGAGTAAGGAAATGACTTTGGAAATGTGAAGATGTCAGTTACAGTAAAATAATCTGATATACATTCATACATATTTTTAAAATATGCTGGATTTCACACTAGATGCCTGAATTAGGATTGCTGTGTGTTTGAACCTTGTCCATCATTAATGTTACAAGATCTAATATCAATCAGTGATTGAGATCAACCCATTCTAATGGATCTCACAGGCACCTTCCCCTTCACTGCACCTGAAGATGATGATGGATTCACTCCTCAGAATGTTACATCATCAGATGATGGACAGTGTCCAAACATCCTATATTACAGATTGTAATTTACCTTCTTCAGAACCCATCAGAATAAATGCCTGAAGATTACAAAATGGGAATGATGAAGTCTGATGTCAAATATGAGGATAAAGAATAAGAATCATTGCAGACATTGAACTATAAAATCCATGCTAAACTAATAGTGACTAGGGGTATGAATATTAAGTTTTAATTAAATCTGGCATGTAGAATGATACACAATATATGCATTATGTCTTAATTTTCTTTAAATAAATTAAAATTTCTAACATCCTTGGCTGTATTATACAGTTTCCACAGACGTATAGGAAGTCACAGAGGACACTCTGAGCACTTTCTACGACATTTTGACTCCAAGAGAAAATTCTGGGAATTAAGAGAATGATGTAGCTCAAAAAGGGAGATTTTTCTAGACCAAAGCCATGTAAATAAACTTTTGTCATTGCTCTGATGCATAGAACTCATTATTGTACAGTTACACTCTGTTTTTTTATAACATTTCCACAGTATTTTTTCGTAAAGTACATGGACACTCTCAGTAACAAGTAAGCCATTCTATTATTTCAGGTCAGGTTACTTGAAGAAAATACCAGGCAAAAAGTGGGCGGTTTCCTTAGCTATAACATACATTTACAGTGGTTGACAACCCTCACATTATTGTTATGTTTGCCTCTAATTTACCATAATGACTAATATTTAGAAAATAACTGCTGTTTATGGCCATAAACCTTCTCGTGAGTATGGCAGTATGAATATTTAATCTCACTGCATGCATTATCTTAGTTATAGTGAACAAATTCCATCTGAGCCATAAAATTCTTAATTGCAGTAGCTGCTTTAAAGAAATTCCAATACCTTTCAGTGGTAATAAACAGTGTTTCTACGTGCCATATACTAAAAAATTAGGCAAATCATATTTTCTAACCTCGTTGCTGTTGTCACATATATTAGATGGTGACAGAAATGAAATGTTGCTCGATCCAAAATCTTGATCAGAAATGTCCTCCTCATGCTCAAGATCTAGTAGGTGTGGCATCACCAGTTGTCTCCTTGACACTTCATTCCAGTTTATGCCCTATAAAATGAAAAACAAACATTAATGGTATGTAGCAGAATGTTGATTGCAGAGTAAGATGTGACAAGGTAAAAGTAAACACCTCAATTTAAAAAACCCTTAATTGTTCAGAAAGTACAAGGATTTTGAAATATATGCTTTGGCTTGGTTATTAATTTTGATCTATATATATTAATTTATTTAACAGTACTGCATCTATTTGGAGGGACGTCTGACACATAATCATGTCTTCAAGGTTTGAAGTAAGTTGTTATAAATTTTATGGCATGTACTGAGAGGGTCTTTCTGAAATCATGATTTGACAGTAGTACATTATGCATTGTATTTATGAACCTTTTACTATGATGTTACTATGTACTCAATGCTAGGCCTATGACATTTGTTACACAGGTTCTGCTGGGGATGTAAATCACAATTTTCATTTACTGAAGATTTAAAGAATAAACTTATCTAGGAACAATGCCAAAAATCTCATATTGTGTGGATCTTCCCATTTTAGTTGATTTTCTTAGTACATGGACAAGACACAGTTCGGAAATGAAACATGTATATATAGCCTGTTATTATATGATAACAAATATTTTAAAAGAACTCACATCAAAAAATGGATGTTTCTTGATATTCTCTGCTCCGGCTTTCCCTCCACCTAAGCGAATTTTTGGATCCTTCTCCAATATTCTTCTGAGAAAATCTACCTCATTGTCCAAGAACCATGGTGGAATGTCTGGTGTGTGATGCAAAATGTTGCTGTAAGAGAAAGGTTCATTCTTGTATTTGTCATTAACAACGTTCATGTTAAACATGCATTTGCAATTAATGGTTACAATGCCTCTCAAATGTGCTATAAGTGGTCTGGTCAATGTCGAATTTGCATGGAGATCTTCGAGGCAGGTCGTACAAAAGATAAGGAAGAAGGTACATGTTAAACATACATGTTTTTCAGCTTTTGGAACCGTTTCCTTCTCTGTCCCTTACATTCAGTTGCTGTCCTGCATAAATTTGCTTATTTAAGCACTGTGGTCATGGTTCTACTTGCATTTTGTTT